AAAAAAAAAAAAAAAAAATGTTAGGGAAAATGTCTAACAGTGTCCGGTCTCTGCGGCCGGAGCCCGGTGTGTAAAATCCACTTGACGTCTCCTCTCGGGTCGGTTTATCCTCTCAGTGGCACTGACACCGCTTTCAGACACATGTTGTTCTTCTTCTCAAAGTTTTCACAAGTTGCTTCCTCTGCGGGGGAACCGGAATAAAACAGTCATAAATCCGGAGAGTCGGTCAGGGTGAAAGTTATCTCGCGTTATCACGTCGAGCAGCGTGCCGTGCGGCGGCTGCAGCCTCCACTGAGCCCCAGGACGGAATAAAGTCCGTCTGAGACTGCAGCACCTCCTCATCACACACAGGGACCGCTGCGTTCAGGGGCTGTCGGACGTGTCACCATTACGGCACACTGAAGGGTTTCTAGCCAGGCGAGCATGAAGCCGACTCTGTAAACACCGGTTGATGGCAAAGCGTTCACACAAGGAGATTTATGATGATATCCTCCATATGGAAACAAACCTGAGATGAAAGATGAGACGTTAACAAACACCTTTTACTCAGTGTTTATTAATAATTATTAGACCCTCATCACCAACAATAAGTGAATCAAGTCAATATTATGTGTATAAAGTGCTTTAGGAGTGCAATTAAAGACACAATAAAGAAAAACGACGAAATAAAGTGGAATAAAATAACAAAACGAAAGCAATTTAAAGAATAAACTAAACAAAAAAAGCTTTAATTGTAATCTCAGTGCAGTAATAGAAAAATGCTCTAGTCCTCACTGTGGTGACTTTGTAATTCTGCAGGAAAGTAACTAAGTACATTTACTTCAGCACTGTAAAGGTGCAATTTTGAGGTTCTACTCAGTTTTATGCTTTTCTGTTATTTTTCAGAATTTCTTGATACATGAATTAAACATCAATTATTAAACGTTTTGGGGGAAAAAAACATTTTCTGAAATGATTAATCAACCCTTTGCTTTAGTAGTAGTTTTATTTTTTACATGAGCTCCACCTCAACCCTCTATATCATTTAAATTTCGACCAATAGTAATCCAATTATAGCCCATAATATACTGTATACAATAATGTGTCACTCTGAAAGGAGCCATTCTGCGTAGTAACACCAGAGAACTCTCTCAGGTCTGGATTTGTCATTTCTAAACGAACTTCACTTCGAATCCAAACGAGTTGAATTCATTAAAATGTGAACTTCCTTTGTTTCTTTCCTTTTCATTCTGCAGCTCAGTGAAGCCTGACGTCTACAAAACTGCTTCTGACACAGTCCATGTTGTACTCGTCTCTCACCAACAGCACCTGAACGCATCAGTGAGTTGTATTTATGACTTCCTGCATTAAGAGGTAGGAGTTTACCAGGAGAACTTGAAGGTATCAGATGATGGATTAAGGTCTCTCCATCTCTGGCAACCCAACCAAACGACCACACACACACACACACAGACACACACACACAGACACACACAGTTTTCACAGTTTTGTTTTGTTTTTCATTTTTTGAATATTCGTTGCTCATTGTCTCACTCTAACAATGCTGTGATTCCTAATTTTTCATCGAACACAATGCCTGTTTTACATTTGTTTCTATCAGACGGTCAGTTCAGTTACAGTCCTTGTGTTTTTGGTGTAAATGTATTGATCTTATTGCATGATACATGGCCTGGTGTATGTACAGAGAAATACTGTTCACATACACTGTCCCTGACTTCTGACAGACCGCTAATCTCAGTTTGTCATTAACATGCAGCAGCAGTGTGTGTTTGTCATTTCCTGTTACCTCTGCGTACACTGAAGATGACAGCGGGACATGATGGACTGACACATTTAATGCAGCACATACAACAGAAATAAAAGCATGTACATTCTTCTGATTAGCTATTTATTTTTACATATATATATAAATATATTACATTTTCAGACACTATTTTTTCTTGCCAAAGAGGAACCCAATTCCTTGTCAGCGTCTTCTTCCTCTGTCATTTCATTGCTGCCAAGTCAGTGTTGCATTATAGAACTTATTGATCAATCAGAATAATTGAAAAAAAGTGGTGCTCAATAACTGATATCATGACTCTGCTCTCTCCCGCTCTCTTTCTACACACAGCCACACACACAGCCATATCCACTGGACAAAGGTCACAACGCTGTCTGGGGGACAAAGGTCTCAAAGGGTGTGTGTGTGCGTGTGTGTGTGTATGTGCTCAACATATCAGCCAATACAAGTTTTTTTTAGTCTGATTTACCTTCACTCAGGTAGGTTACTTTGATAAATGAAAGCAAGCGGCGAGGATTTCATTTGTTAAGCCTGGACAGCATCAATCTCTCATGTGTACACACACACACA